AAAAAAATGCCCAATGAGTTCTAGAACACATTTGATAATTATATAAGAAAGCACTTAAGCCGATATAGTAGCATTTCAACCCCATTACTCACAAGTCACAACAGAGCTGCCATGCTATGGATTATCTCACCAACTTACCACCAGCACTTTGCCATCTACAATACCTGCCATGGGTATTAACGTACTTGTCAGTTTTTTGCAGAAAGGTTTACAGCCAACATTAATCTTAAAATCTAAGGGTAGCTAGTTTCGTCCCAAAATTGATGTGTAGCTCTCTTTTGTTTTTATCAGATAGAGTATAGGCTATACAAAAATTCCATTGTATCATCTGACTTGAAACTTTTTTAGCGAAATGGGGGTATAATGCAAGACTAGTCCTTCCATATTTTAATTAGGTAGCATCTTCACCCTTGTGAATTATTCCAGTATCCTGCTATCAAACCACTCACGCATAAACGTAGCTGATCAGCCCCCAAAACCCTAACACAAGCACATGGCAGATACATCAAACCACCAATCACGCATAATCCTCGAAAACCCAGCCTCACACACAAAGGATCAAGGATTTAGGTTTTCTTCCAGTAATGCGAATTAAAATATCAAAAGAAACCTAAAACAACACGATTAGTGTTCATATGGACTATCTAATTATCAAAAAAACTACTCCACAGTATAATGCAAAAACCAAATTACGTAAATACACATACAAAGAGGATGTTCGAAGTAAAGAGCGTTTCCGATGCTTACTTCTATTGCCTCTCGCAGTCGCAGATATATAGACAGAGAGGTGAGAGGCTTAAGAAGGGTTTTTTGTGTATGACGGCACAAATATGATGAAGATGAAAATACTTGCTTCCCGCCGCTGTCACCGACACGTCGTGGGATGACTGCTGGCGAGCAACGGAGCGCCACCGCGGCGGTGTTGTACGGCAATCAAGCAGTGGTAGCAGAAAGAGGAAACAGCAATCGTGTAGTCAATTGTTAACCCTGTTCGTCTATGATTTTGCCCGCGTTCCGCTGCAACCCTGGCCCGATTAATAAATAAACAAAATAAAATATATATTATAATGAACTACAAAATAGTCCCTTGACTTTTTGTAGATAGACAATTTCAGTTCCTGAAACCTTTTTTTGGCTTTTCCCATCCAAGAAAGATAAAACAGTTACAAAATAAGACCAATTTAACATATTTGTTAAGTGCCTCATGTATCGGAGATATGACTTCACTATGGACCGACACTAAGCTCATTCCTTTTTTTGTGATTTTGGACGAGATCTCCTAAAGAATTCAGAAGAGTGTTCCATGGTGTATTATTCGTAGACAACATTGTGTTTGGTAGTGGAGTTGAATGTATAAGTGATTAGGGTAGAAAAATTGACGATCCAAAGGGCCAAGATGATGGGTAGAGCGAGAAGGACGTGGGATGAACAATTGAGAAGAGGCATTGTGGTCTAAGACATTTTCGGTGTCATTACATCTTATAAGAGTTGTTGGAAACGCAAAATTAAAGCAGTCAATTAGGGAGAGGGGTCTATAGCTAGCATGAGTGGGAAGATGAGTTAGAGCAGTAGACGGTATGAAATATACTGTGTTAGTTAGGTTAAATGACTCACGGTCACATGCATACCATTTGACTTGCTTTTCAACATAAATCATCTTTTTCAATTTTCACTATTCTACAAAAACAACCCTTTTTATAACAAAATTTGTTTTGTGGTGATTTGAACCACATTGGTTGGCCGCTTTTTCGATATTTAATTTAATATACAAGAAGACCATCAATATATGACAAAAGTCTAAGAATGACACGTAACTGTACTTTTATAAAAATGTCATAGAAGATTACTCAATTTTTAAATTAATGTCATTTATATTAGATTTGGTTTAGAATGACTATTATGCCCTTTGGTTCAAGTTTAAAATTTTAACTAGAAGATATACAGACTTTAGTAATTTATGTTTTATTTCTTTTTACAAAGTTTAAAATATATACGACTTGTAAATCAAAACAAAATACCAAAGCCCCCGATGGGATGCCACCACTACTCTCCTCTACAAAACTACCACCACCGATTGCGCTACTCCATAAAGGGTACACAACCGCCCATCCACATCTGCACAACCATCGACCCCCTATCAACATTGTCGCCTCCTGCAACAATGCCTACACCATAGTTCTCCCCATGTAGGTCAAGCATTTACTTTTCTAGTTAGAGCTTCTTTTTTTACTTTTAGGCAACCAAAACATAATTTCCATGTTTGACCATCGAATTTAAGCAATGAATAATTTTGACGTAAATGACACTAAATTTAAAGTTTTATGACATATGTTTTCTTATAGTTATGGTCTTTTTGAGATTGTTTCATACTTTAGTGGCCTCGTATGTATTAAGCCAATTTTTTTAAGCATAGAATTATAAATAATGAAATACTTTTCACCCCTTCCCATCCAAAAAAAGTATGAATAGGTTCTGTCACTGTATACTGGTTGAATCAAATACGTAATATACATATTGATTCAAAGAATAAAAAAATCCACTTTTAAAGTAAACCATATTAATTTTAACGAATTAATTAAAAGTAATACAAACCCACAAGTAAAATCGAATCTTTTTCAACACTACATAGATGATGGCAAGCAACTTGAACATGCTTTTGTACCAAAATTGCAAAAAGAAAGAAAATCATTTAATTTAGGGGTCATTTACCAAATACTTATTCGGGTAAGCGTTCATCTGTAAAATTAAACACTATTACTTACTTACCGGGTAATATTTTAGTCCACCAAACAATATCGTATACAACAGTTTATCTTGTAAATACTAATCGTGGTAAGAGTCTTCGCTTTCGCTTACCGGATAAGACTTTTGTCTTTGCCTTCACTCTTACCTAGTAAGATTTTTGATCTTTGTCGTATTCATCCAATAAGTTAATGTTACTTGATAAACGCTTATCCGAATAAGTGTTTGGTAAATATCCTATTGAAATGGAAAATAAACTGGAAAACAAATAGGTGTCAAAGTCATTGGGTGATAAACTGGAAAACAAATAGGYGTCAAAGTCATTGGGTGATTAATGATATGAAAACAAAGAAATGCTACGAGAAGTCAAGTCCACATGTGAGAAATTGATGATTGTGTTGACCAACATAAAGGCCGTTTGCTTTTTTTTTTTTTTTTTAACATTTTAATAATTAATATAAAAGTGTGTTTATTTTTTTATTAAAAGTATATACATTACATTTAATGTTTTATTAAGATTGAAATTGACCTAACAAATTAATATCTTAAAGCCAAAAAAATTGAACTAAATGATAAGATTTGAAATGTCACATTATGAATAGATCATTACTTTGTGTTTTCAATATATGAATAATTTAAATTGTTGATATTACTAAAATGAAGATATATATATATATATATATATATATATTTAAATGATTAATTCGGTTCACTTTTCAAGTGTAACACACCCTTGAATCTTCAGAGAGGATGATACATCTATCATTCTATGAAGTCGTGTTCTTGTAACACCCAGAAATTTACTATACTATTTCTTATTCGTTTGTGTTTGTCACTGAGTTGGCCGACCGTCGTATAGTTTTGGCAAATCAAATAGAAAGAAATGCCAGTTGGGTCGCGTGAGAGTCTCCCGAGTGTTTTTGGTTGGCATTGGTTAGGCCACGCAGAAGCCGCCCCGAGCGTAGGCTGGTTCAGTTTTTTAAGTCATTCACTTTCCTTCCTCCTTTTCCCCATTCTTGTTTTCTTCTTCTCTTTCTTTCTTTCCAAGCCTTAACCCCAACTACTTTCTTCCCTTCATTTCTCCTCGTAGGTCCGAATTTGGGAATGTTTGTGAAGCATTTTGGAGAAGATCTAACTTAGTAGTTTCAATTTTTTGGTTGGGATCTCCATATGTTCTCAATAGGTGAGATTATTGATGAGTTTTGCATTATTTAGGGCTTTGACTATGGGTATGATTTTGGGTTGCTCTTGTGTGTATTTTAGGTTTGTTTTTGACCTAAATAAGGTTCTCGTGATGAATCTTGTAGATCTGAAGCCTCCACCAAAAGAAGCTCAAGTTGTGGGGTAAAACCTAGTTTTCAAGTTGATTTGTGAAAACTATGTACATACCAAAATGTGTATTTTTGAAGTATTAGTATGCTTTTTATTTGATATTTATTAAATATGTGGAGTATTCGATGAATTTTATACACTTGGTATTTTTAAGTTAACACATCCTAAAAATGCACATATTTGGGATCTTTGAGTATTTTATTAAATAAATCACAAGTGTGGATTGTTTGATGGTTTATCTCATAAATGGAGATTGTTTTGGTATTAATGTATTTTTAGTGTATTTGGTTTTATAAACCATTTGTTAGATACACATCACTGTGTTGTGAGACATTTTGGAGATATAAATAGTATGATTTCGATTAGCAAAGGCTTTGTCCCAACTAATGATGGGTTTTTTAGTAAATCATCCTTTTGGAGCATATACTTACATAAACGTGGGTTAAATGTGTTTTACTACTTTCGATGACTTTAATCTACTATTCATTTGAATTGTTGAGCCTTTGGCTTGGTTTTGACTTAAATGAGTCTTGTGGACATTTGTCTGAAAATTTAGAGCGCTCTATATTGAGCTTTGCATTTGTAGTGCATTTGTTTATAAAATTGCATGTTTTAAGTGTGTTGGTCATCCATTTGAAGTCATATAATTTAGACTGTGACACGTTGGATCCATAGGCATGTCGGTTAGTCTTGTATTTATGGTCGAGGGGGTATTGCGGAATTGGATTCTGGACCCTCGTTTCATGACCTTAAGTTTGCAAGTAGACACTAGGAGGGTTGAGTCTGAAAGTGCATGTCTTGTTGACACACCAGGACCTTCTTCGTTTGAAGTAATGCCTTGGAGGTAGTCTTTAAGTGTGTCAGGTCTTGCGGTGATTACTCTTGAAGGTACACTAAGGTCAACCAGCTCTTGAGATGAAGTTTATTAAGAAATTGTATGGACACTTAGGTTGTAGGTCGTGAAGTGTCATGAGATAACGTTGTTCGAGTGGCATACTATTTATGTCCCGTCACTCTCAATGGATATAGGTCTCCCCCGTCATTGTTTAATGTTATTTTGGATAGTTTATCATCCATGCTTTTATATTATTGGGTTTTGGCAGATAAACCGTAATTCATGATTTTAATATATTGGATGCCCTCCATATATTAAGATTTTGGATAAAAGGGTTATTTTCATGTATGCGGTACTTGGATTTTAATCCTCCTTATGCTTCATGTGAGTATTGGGTTTTGTTTCAAAATTAGTGGGTATTTTCATTTAAGTGTTTATATAAAAAAAATGGTGGTTTCGGGAAAGATTTTGTTTACATTTTTAAAATACATTTCATTTTAGAAAGTGTGATTTTAAATAACCTCCTTTCAGTTTTAACCATGCTATATAACTAACGAAAAGTGATTGAACTACCAGGCCTGACGTATATTTTTCTTTGTCAGCATATGCATCAGATCCTTGGGAAAATTGTACTAGCGACAGAGTGATGAGATAGACGCTAATTAGCAAATTAGAGACGTAGTTTGTATTTTGGAAATGACGACATCTATTGGGTTTTAGTAGTGCTTCTCCTTAATTATAAACTTGTGTAAGGTTTGGAATATTGTTTATTGATGTTAAGACATTGTTTGGTAAAAATAAACTAGCTTTTAAGCTACTTTATTTTCGGGATACATGTTTGGATGCATATAAACTAGTTTATAAGCTAGCTTATAAGTCATTTTATGAAACGCTACTTGCATTAGCGTTTTTGACAACTTATTGTCACTTTTTCCAATTATAACCATCATTAATATTAATTGTCATTTATTACTGTTAATTACAAATAAATATTAACTATTAATTAATATAAATTGAAAATTAATTACTAATTATTTATAATTAATATTATTTATTAATTATTTAC